ACTACGACAGAGCCATCCACTTCCACGAGAAGGACCTCGCCATCACGGTGGAAGCGTTGGGCGAGAAGCACCCGAGCGTAGCCACGTCGTACTTCAACATCGGCCTGCTCTATGACAAGCGCGGTGACAAGGAGCAGGCCTGCGCGTACATGCAGCAGGCGCTCGACATTTTCACAAGCACGCTCAGGCCAGACCACCCACACACCCTCAAGGCGGAGCGCAACCTGCGGCGCATTCGCGGTGGTGCTGTGACTAGGCAGCACACATCCACGCAACACGTGTCAGAGTCTCGACTTCAGCAGCAACACGTGCTTGCTCATCGCAACCTTCTTCTTCGGTTCATCTCTTCTGCTGTCGTGTACCAGGCGTTTGCTCCACAACGCAACCTGCTCATGCGATTTCCCGGTGCAGTTGCACATGCTGACGTTGACGCAAGACGCCCAGCAAACACAGGCAGCGACGGTGAGGACAAGAAGACAGGGACTGGGCGAGATGCTCCTCGTGGCTGCTCAGCACCAGCAAGAGCGTTGTACAAGGACGCTTGCGAGTGCCCGAGTGAGCCTCCGGCCGGTTGGTTGCGGAAGCGTGGGCGACGGAGGGCCGCCTTTCGCCCGTGCTGGTGCAGGCTTGACGACGACGGCCACCTCGCGTACGGCAAGTCCGCGTCAGGCACGGCCAAGCGACGCATCCCCCTGTCCAGCGTGCTGTCAGCTGAGCTCGCCCATGGTGGCGAGGAGTTACACGTTGCTGTTTCTGGCCGCACCTTCGTCTTCCGCCTGGACGCGCGCTCTGACACCTCGCTCGCTGACTGGTGCACCGCCATCAACAGCCGCATCAACGTTACCACTTGACTGTGTGCTCTGTGCGTGTGTGTGTGTGTGTGTGCTTGCTGGTTGGTCTCTTTGCTCGTTTGCTCCTGCTCTTTCCTCCACGTGCTTGCCTTACTTTGCTTGCGTTTACTTGCTTGACGTTGCTTGTTTGATACTTTAGTAAACTCTTCACACAATCCAACCGGCTGACAAGCAACGAGCATACAACCTACCACACCACATGTCAACCAAACACTGGCTACCAAACAGGTCCTATTTCACCCCCACATCCACGCCCACAACGCCCGCCTTGCGCATCAGCAGCTCCAGGGCGCGGCCGGTGGAAAAGTAGTTCCATCAGCACGGGAACGTGCGGCGGTATCGACAGCGGGTTCAGTTGCCCAGCGTGCACGGCGCCCAGCAGCCTTGTCGGAGCGCTGGATCGCCAGCCTGGACTCGTTGTCCGTCCGCGACCGTGCGGAACAGCACGTCGTCGCTGCAGGCCCACGCCAGTCGGGGATGCGCCCAACTCTCGTGTTGCACCTCTGCCGCCGTCTCCGTCCTCCGGGTTCAGGTTGTCCGTCCCCAGCGACAGGTTCCACCATACAAAGGGCTGCAGCGACATCAGGAACAAGAAGACGTCCGCGTCCCGGCAGCGTGCTCCCGCAGTCTTGTCTCCTCGTCGGTCTGGCTGCGCATCATGCCGGAAAACTCGGCGGCAATCCCCGCCAGCAGCTGCAGCTTCGTCTCGAACGGCGCCTGCAGCGTCTTCTCGCTGACGACCATGTGCGTGTCCTTGTCCACCTCGCGCGCGCGCGTGTACTCAGGCGAGAAGTTAGAGCACGTCTCCCGCGTGTGGGGCACACCCGTCCGTCCGCGCAAACCACAATCGTGTTGACGGTGTTGTCGTGCTGGAACGTGCGCTTGGGGGTCTCGGCGGCCAACACACGGGTACGTCGGGGTCGGCGAGCGACCTGAAGCCAAGCGGCCGTGGCGGCGGCGGCTCGATGGTGAGCCCACCATCCCCGTTCACGCATCCCGACAGACGTGCTTGCTCTTGGTAGCTGCTGGAGCTGGCGGTGGGGGGAGGAAACGACGCCACGACAGACGGACAAATGACTGGGCGTGGATGTGGAGACGTTGTGGCAACGGAGCATGCTGGCTGAACGCACTTGTCGACATAGATGAGCTGCAATGTTTGCAAAAGCGAGGAGAGATGGTTGCCTGTTGGACAGGCGAGGAGACGGGTGAGTGGTGGATGAGGAGGAGCACGACTAGTCCACACGGGACCTCAGGTGAACCGCAAACAAAGGTGCAGACAAGGGCGCAAACGCACGCACGCATGAACGCACGCACCGTCGATGGAGATGCCTGCGTCGTTGGCAAGAGCGAGCCAGGTGTGGGTGATGGTGGTGGCGGCGATGGTGCCGATGCGTTTCAGCTCATCATTCGATTGAGACAGCTGCCGTACACCCAGTGCAATGCAGAAGGGATTGTGGTAGTGTTGGTGGTGGTAGTGAAACGGGTGAGAGACACTCTTCATGGAAGGACATGATGTTGTCCAACACGCCTTCCCCAACGCACAAGTTCATGCACACACACACTCACTCACACACACACACACACACACACACACACACACACACACACACACACACAATCTCACACACCATCCTCCTTCTCGTGGTCAATGAGGCCTGCGGCGGGGATGCGCTGGCGGTCAAACGTGAGCGTGGTCAGGACACGGAAGAGCTGCCAGATGTGGATGAAGTGCAGGTTGCTCAGGCAGTCCAGGATGCCGTTCAGCATTAGCACGCGAACGGGTGCAGCAGCTTCGGGTGGTCTGTGGCCAGCGACAGTAGCAGCACAGACATGGCTGCGTCCACCTCCTGTGCCTGCCCCGTGCCAATGTGCGCCACCAGCGCCCCGACCACCTCCTGCCGTGCACTCGCGGTCAGAGTCGAGCGTAGGCGCCTGGCTTCTGGAAGGTGCAAAACTTGCACCTGCTCACGGTCGAGCGTGGAAATGTACCCCCAGGCAGCGTAAGACGACACGGGCACGCACGTGTCCTGGACGCACTTGCGGCAGAGGCGGTCGTGCTGGCGCGTGGGCTCGCAAAGCAAATCTCTTCCTCATCCGGACCGCACTGCGTGACGGGGCAGCATGACTCGGCCTGGCGGTCGACGGGCTTGAAGGTGGCGCTAAGCTCGCACTGGCTGCACACGCAGGTCGCTGGTAGGGGGTGGGCTTGGCCGTCTCCTCCTCGCCGGCGTCGCACGTGGTGATGGGAAAGCGAGCACGCCCTGGCCAGAGACAGCCTTGTACGTGCCCTCCAGGACACTCGTCGCAGACACGGTCGCTGATGAGGAGGGTCATGGCCTGCACCTCCTCAAACCCGGGCGCGCACTCTGTGACATCGTGGAACGGGGTGGGTGGCAGGGTCGCTGTCGTGGTCGTGGGTGCCTGCGCGGCAGGTGAAGCTGGAGCAGGAGCCGTGGGAGCCCGCCTCCGTGTAGTGGCCAGCGGGGCACACTTGGCTGGCAACCCGTGGAACCGTCGCTGTCCAAGTCGATGGTGCGGGCCGAGCAGTCGTGGCACACGCGGTCCGAGGAGCGGGTTGGCGCGGCGACCTCTTCCTGGCCGAGCTCGCACTCCTCAATGGGCTCGTACTTGCTGCCGCCAACGGATGGGGAGAACTCCGTCACGCCGTCGCATGGCCGACAGTCGGCTGAGTCGGCGTCGTAGACAAGGATGAAGCCAGCGCTGCACTCGCACGTGTCTGTGCAGCCTGGGCAGGAGCGGCGTGCCGCGTAGGCGTCCATCTGGCGAATGGTGGCGTGGATGCCATCCTCGCCCGGGCCGGAGCAGCACACGTCAAGCACCACGTCGAGCTGCTCGTCCGTGGGCCAGGCGCACACCATCTCCTCAAACAGTTGCGTGATGAGCTTGTTGCAGGCGAGCGTGTCACAGGAGCACATGCGGTCCGTGGTGAGCGTGGGCGGGATGGTCTCGATGAAGGGCTCCTCGCACATGCTGGTGGGAAGCACGAAGTGTGGTCCGGCAGCGGCTGGTACTCTATGCCAAAGGGTGCAGCTCACGCACATGCGGTGGTCGCGCACGGCGTTGCCAGAGACAGACTTCTTCTGGCCCGGCTTGCACTCCGTCCAGGGAGAGCAGACGGCGTCGGAGGACGCGGAGCATGGGGGTGGAGGCCCAGGTGCCCATGCCACACGTGGTACATGGCACACAGCCGTGGTCCTTGGCGTAGTAGTTGAGAGGGCAATGGGGTAATGCACGACTGAGGAGGTTGCCGTCGCAGCGGAGGCAGTTGGTGGCGTTTGGTGGGGTGGCATTCGGCACACGCAGAGTGTCATTCAGCACACCCGTTGCCGAGCTCATACTCACCATCGGGATACTCGCTGATGCAGGGGCCGTTACTGGAGGTGAGAGTGTAAAGGTGGTGCACTCCTCGATGCCTGGAGGGGAGGGTGTGAGAGTGGAGGAGAGGATGGCATGAGAGGCAATGACAACATCGTTGTGAGTATTGAGGAACCGTGGACTGCTTCATCTTCTCAAGGTCACAGCACTCATATGAGGCTTTGAGGACAAGCACGCACACACACACACAGACACACACACACACAGACACACACACACACACACACACACACACACACATACACACACACACACAGCCAACATTGGTCGACATACCATTGGCTCGTGATGAAGCTATCCTTGAGGACCCGCCGCACGGTGTTGTTGTGCACCGTGTCGATTGTCGTGCGGTTGTGCTTTACAGTCTGCTCCAAGTTACCGTTTGTGGTGAAGCATGTTTCCCAGAGTTCCATATCCGCGCCGCCGTTCAGCGTTTTCGCGACAGCTCGACGGGAGTCACGGGCGTACTTGTTGGCACTGACCATGTTTGCAAATCGCACCGCAGTCTGTTCCAATCGTCACCGTGTCACGCTTCCACTGCCCGCGCACGACGTCGTTGAGCAGTATGCTGTTCGCACACGAGGGCACGCCGTTGATGCTGGCGTACGAGCACATGGCAGCGAGTGCCCGCGCTTGTACTGCACATGAGACACGTGGCAGAGGGGAGCGGGATTAAGATGAGAGGAAGTGGGAGGTGAGACAATGGCGCAAGCATGGTGGCGTGGACGAACTAACAAGAATTGTTGATTGGAGATACACGAGCTGACACAGACAGACAGACAGACAGACACACACACAGACACACACACATGCACACCTCGGTGTCCCAGAGGTCAAAGGTGGAGATGTTCCCGTTGAATGCCATGCGGTTTGTCTCGACTGAGTGCGCGTCAACGTGCCTGAGACCTAAACGCGATGGTGCGGTGACAGCAGTGTAAATGCCACGTCCACCACCAAGTGTGCAAATGAGGCAGCGTCGCTGACACGGTTGTGGGCGTTTGCATACACACATGTGTGAGGTTGGATGCGTGTGCGTACCTGCTGCCATTTTCTTGTACTTCTTGTCTGGGCCATCCTGGCAGCCCGCCACGTAAGCAGCAGCGTACTCGCCGCTCAAGAAGGGGTCTCAGAGATTGAGAGGGGTGCAGTGAAGGTGAGGAGGTGGGCCTGCAAAGTGAGCGAGTGAGTGAGTGGGTGTGAAGGGGTAGGTGGCATGCGGGCGACTGTTGTAGAGTGATCGCATGTGTGTGTGTGTGTGTGTGTGTGTGATATGCACCAGCATCAGCAACACGTGATGAAGGGGGCACCTGTGAGTCCGATCTTCTGCAAGACGCCACCGCCCCTGTGCCAGTTGAGATTGTTGAAGGTGCGCATCTCCGTGGATATGGCCTGGAAGCGAAGAACCGGTGGTGGGGGACGAGGAGGGAGGGAATGAGCGACAGGTGCTTTGATCAAGAAGAAACCGACATAGCAGACGCAGACACACACACACACACGCACACACACACAAACACACACACACACACACACACACACTCGCCACAAGCAGCGGTTGAAGGCTGCGCCAAGACCTGTGGGCCTCAATGAACGTCGTGGCACACTTGTCCTGGCTAATGATGCACGCAGAGCCAACGGCCGTGTTCATCTCCGCCAGATGCAGACACGGCGGGATGTCGAGCCTGCGACCCACACGCACACACACACACACACACACGCATATGAGCATGAAGAAGGAGGTGGTGTTGTTGTGTGAGTGGTGGTGGTGGTTGATGTCGCTGTGGCACGAAGAAGCGGGGAGGATGGGGAAACACAAGCAGACAGAGTCACGAGTCACTGCGTGGGCGCTGCATGTCCTTTCCCACCTCTTGACGCCATAGTCAACAACAGCGCATGGGCTGGTGACGGGATCAGGGCCAATGAGACCGGCCTTCTCCTGAAGACTGAGGCGTCCAATGAGGTCGTCGAGGCGGGCACAGATGGACAGACTCGAGTTGCAGACCGGCAACTCCTTCGTCGCTGCAGACAGGCACACATGGCCTGACAAGGCAAGGTGCAACATCAGTCACGTATCTACGTATGAGCTGAGAGAGAGAGAGTGTGTGTGTGTTGTGTGGGTGTGTGTGTTGGAATCACCTGTTGGGAACGGGTTTGCCGGAACAGTTTGCCCGGATGATGTTCATGCGATTGGCTGCTCCGCACCTCTCGGTGGACGCTCCCGTGCACGGCTCGTTGCAGTCGGAGGAAGGCTACGCATGTGTGCGTGTGTGTGTGTGGGGGGGGGGGGGGGGGAGTGCGTGGTCGCATACACTACTGCACACACACAGACACACACACAGGCCCCCCCCCCGACACCCACCCCGACACACACACACACACACACACACACCGCCGAAACTGCGCGGGGGAATTCAGCTTGGGTGCCGCAAAAACATTGGTAGCCGTACTCCACGGCGCTTGAGGGGAAAAGTTTAAGGGGTAGCAGAGCGTGGCACACGCCTCACGCGTCATGGACGCCTGCGCCATGTTACCCGCACACGCAAATGTGCGATTGTCAACGCGGTGTGTGCCAGTGTGTGTGTGGGGGGGGGGAAAAAGTGTTAATAGGTGAGCGCCCCGATGGGAACAGGGGATGGGCCACGCCAAGTTCGGTTTCTCACACACACACACACACA